ATTCTCACCTACTACCTGATCCTCAGAAGACTCGTGCAACTCCATACCTGTATGTGTTATCCGTGAGCTCAAGCAAGGCAGGATACCTGGTTTCATATCTTTTTTCCAGCAGCTCCTGAGGTAGCATAGCTCTTGTCGTATGGAGAGTTGGGTTCTATGTGCACTGCTTTATGAGCCAATGACTGGCTCATCCTCTTCTCTTGCCAGAGGAGAAGGTCAAGGGGAAGGATGATGATGGCCTATAGGGAAAATACTCTTAATGCTTGCCGGTCCCAAGAAGACTAGTTGCACTAGCACTCCAGAAGCGTGCTGTCAAAGCCATCAGCCTTGACATATAAACCAGGATTTCTGAGCACTCCAACCACAGCTGTCCCAGATCACAGAATCACAGAATTGCCAGGATTGGAAGGGACCTCAAGGATCATGAATCTCCAACCCCCCAGCCACATGCAGGGCCACCAACCTTCCCACCTAATGCTAGACCAGGCTGCCCAGGGCCCATCCAACCTGGCCTTGAACACCTCCAGGGATGGGGCATCCACAACCTCTCTGGACAGCTGTTCCAGATGGGTAAAGCAGGCTGTCTTTGTGCTGTTTTCTGCTGAGGCTGCGTTTCTTTCATCTAGCACTCAACTTTGTGAAAGAGATGTTGTTGTATTTTGTTAGGAGATGGTGTGCTGTGCCAACGTATTCTAATGATTTGCATTTTGCTTTATTCATAGAGCAAGATGACTGTAAGTTACCTTACCACTTTTTTTTCTGACTGTCTGAGACAAATCCATCTGCTTTCAGATCATAATGATTGTAATTGTTCAATAGAGAGTGCAGCATCACACTTTTTTTATTTTTTTACTTGAAAATAAAAAGCTCTTTAGATTTATACTTACTATTCTTCTAAAATAATTTAAGTCTGTTTATTTCACTCCACTACAAAACTCCGAATTCTAAAGTTTTAGTATCTTTTAGCTGAGGGGGGTAACAAAGATTTCAAGCCTGGTTTGTTGGAGTGTGACTTGCATATCAAGTCAGATCTGTAGAATGATAGGGTTATTTAAACAAGAAAAGGTGTGATCCTGGTTTTCTTGCACCTATTCTGAGAAAATCTTGTCTGCACTCAAAATATTACACAGCTCTGGGGTTCTGCACTAACATTTAATTTCTAGCATTGCTTCTGTGATTTTATAAATATAAATATATATATATGTGTGTAGAATAGAGATTCTTTTTGTCAAGTATGAACTTCATGAAGCTAGCACAAATGACTTTGGAGGGTGGAATGCCCCTATAGGTCCCATTGAAGAAAACTGTCCTTAGCCCACGACATCAGGGTGTTACGCTTGTAAATTCCAGATAATATGTACACCTCCTGTGCAAAGTCCTGTTTTGTTTTCAGCAATGGTTATGTTACACATCAGTATCTGTTCTGCTTGTGAAACTGTATCTCTTGCATAGACATACAAATACTTTTGTTTGTGTGTAGGAAAACAGATAATTGGCATTCACACAAATAAGAATAAGAAAGTTTTTTACACAACCTGTTTTTACTTTGCATCTATGGAAAGCAATTATTTTTCAGAATATTTCTTATTAGTTGAAAAACTCTGAATGAGAGTAGTGACAATTTGTTTTTTTTTTCCTCACAGGCTAATTCTGATTCCTTATCTCTAATTATATAGGTCATTCCAAAAGTAATGCCTCCTGCTTATTTCCATGGAAACTCCAACAGCTACAAAGAGCACAATAGCACTGTTTGATAAAGCAAATTCTCAGCTACAGATCACTTTTTTTCAACATAATCACCACCATTAGCTAAGTGTTTTCACCAGTGATGAACAAGAGCCTGCATGCTGTGCCAGTAACAATCTGCACCCACAGAGCTGACCTGCTGTCACTGTCTTCACGCTGATATGTACCACCCACCACCTCACTGTGCTCACATCCACTCTTTGGTCTCCATAAGCATTCAGTGAGCACAGATGAATGTCAGTAGGTGCCATTTTTTTCCACATGGAGAAATTCAATTCCACACCTTTGCTTCATCTGCATTTCCATTTCAGATGCCCGCTCCTCTGTTGCCATCTGTCACGTGGTAACGAAATGTAATGGGATATTGGCAGGGAAGTTCAACCTTTACTGCCACACCACCAACGTGAGCCTGTGACCTTATGGGCCAACATAATAAAACAAGAGGCATTACTTTTGGAGCAGCCTTCATATAACAAAACTGTGTTAGTTTTACACTAACTCAGTGTTTTCATTTGCTGTTAATAGTATTCTTTTTGTGGCATGTGGGAGACCATTGCAGAGGTCAAACTATTACTTTTTTACCCAACTATGTCGTAAATTAATTAGTAATTTTGTTAACGCCATTGAGCCTCAGTCATTTTGTAAGCATTTCAAGTAGCTGCAAGGATGACACAGCAATGTTAGTAATTAACTTTTCTCTCCGTCTGGCTGTTAAATGAAAATTCGCTGTGATGTTGTGATTTGGCATGTATCATCACAGAGACTCGCAGATTCTCCCACCTCTCTGCCACAAAAGTGTCTGTTAAAAGCATCCAGAAAATTAATCGGACTCTCTCTGTTTTGTGCCTTGTGCTGCTGTTCAATGAAGAAGAAATCAAATGATGTGAGGGCTCAATATCTGCCACGACTGGCATCGTGAGACATTTCCTACCTGTGTTTTTTTAATTGGTTGGCTCAAAAAGGAAATCAGTCAATCTGAGTTAAGAGATGTAGGCATTTCAGCTGGATAGAAATTTTAGCATGACTCATAACGTTTTACACAATTAACTTGCCAAGAAAATGTGCTTCTATAAAACTGTGAAGCACTTGAAGTGCAGCTGGAGGAAAAATCATTTTGATAGAAGAGTTCATAACAGTCCAGCTGAGGACTTTCGGCAGCGGTGGTGGAAAGAATCATCAGCATCGATCATCTCAAATCCTTCTAGCTTTAGCTCTGGCACGGTGCCATGGCACCTTCAGCTCTCCTTTGCCATAAAGATCCAGGGTAGGCAGCACAGAAGCAAACACAGAGCTGAAGAGAGAAGGTTGGGAATACCAGCTGCCCACAGAGCTTCAGGAAGCAATTGTCCTCCATATAGACACAGGGACCACTGTTTAGGATTTGCTATTCTCAAAGTGCAGTGATTGGTATGATGGCATCTTAACATTTTCCAGAAAATTGTCTTGAGGAACTCTCCTGATGTTTCTCACCAATTTTGTGATGTTTAAGGGAAATCTGTAGGAAGCAGTTTTGCATGTTTGTGTAGTCACATAACTTTCATGCAAAGATATACCGAGTCGGAAACCGAATAAAAAAATATGATGTGACTTTTGCAACTGAAGCTTTCAGAATTTATCTGTATTTTAATGGACTAATCTAGTTTTGTTAATTTAGAAGAACAGCTCCCCATATACAGCAGGACTAATATCTGAAAAGATGATTTGTCTTTACTTGCAGTTATTTTCCTTGGCTGGTGGAGGCTACCGCAGTGAAGCTTGGTTAGTTTTACTATGCCAGCAGAGGGTACCAACAGGTGCCACTGTGGTCTGCTCCCCCACTCTACTTCTGGACCCACCACCCTACCGTTTTCCCTACACCTGCAAGAATGACTTGACTTCTTCATCTTCCCTCTCTCACCACTTTCCTCCTTGAGTTAACTGTCCTTTTACTGCTGATGCTGGGCATGGGAGCTGAGCAAGTAGATTTTTCTTGCTGCGCTTTATCTGTTGCCTAATGAGTGCCTGTGTGATGAGACACTAGCAAAGGTAGCAGCTGCAGGAAGAAAATTCAAGAGCTGGAATGGAGAGAGGGAGAAGAGAGGGAATGTAGTGAAAAAGTGGTAGGGGCTCAAGCAATTTCATATTGGAACAGAAGATGGAGGATAAAAAACTAATCACTGTAGAGCACTCCTTCTCAATTATGAACTTAGACAAGGAATCCCCCATTTTCATGACTGCTCTGCAGCCCAAGAAGTAGGTCTGAATCCCAAGTTTTCTTGAGTACTTTCTGGGATTGGTGACTGCTGAGGATAAATTATTACTGCTATAAAGTGCTCTACTTGCTTAAGTGGCGAGGTTTGTGGTGTGGCTCTATGCCTGATCCAACTGATGAATACTGTAGGATCAGCGTGGTCCCACATGCTGCAGTGGCTGGTTACTATTCCCTTCCTGTACAGAGAAAAGAATTACACTGATGTCAAATTGAGAAAGTTTGTGCTCATTCCAAAGGGGAAAGAGTGGATGTTAATTCAAACAAAGCTGTAACGTGGAGGTGTGAGGAAACTGAATTAGAGCTATGCAATCTTTCTGCCTTCTCTTTAAATTCACCTGACGCAGTATAATTGTCTGAAAACAGGTAAAAGCTCAGCTATGAGCTTCTGCAAACCCCTGAAGAAATGCCTGTACCTCAGTCTTCACAGCAAAGTATTGAAGGCAAAATGCCAGCAAGGATTGCATGAAGTACAAAGTAAACTTGTTTCGTAATTTAAAGAAAATTACAGATTAGCATCTCTACTTGCTTCTCCCCCTTTTTTTCTGCACCCGCTGCACTCTGGTGTGTCCGTACCTCATATCTGTGGGTGTGGTACATTTCCTACAGCAGGAAAATTTGGGGGGAATCTGGTGCCATGGTATAATACCTCCTCCTGCTTCTTTGCACCCACAGGATTAGAATACAGAACTGCAGTATTTCCCACCCCTCTTGCACACAAGTGCATCTTAAAGTAGTCTTGTGAGCAAAAGCATCATTGCTTAGCACTTGGATTTGAAACCACACTGCTACAAACTGAGTTTAGGTTTTTTGCTTGTGAAGAAATCACTTTTAGCCCACATTTCTCACATGTGGAGATAAGCAGAAATTGCAGTACTGAAGGCATCATCTTCAGGTAGTGGGTACAAATCGTACAGACTGCTATCCTGAAACAGGTTAAATGGCAATTGGGCTGTTGCATCTATTGCATTACCTCTTTCAGTTTTATCTCGCTGGGGCACAGATGGGAGTTAAAAGCAGCACGGGTATCCAGATAAGAACGTAAGATATGCATTGGCTGGAATCTGACAGGGTTGAGGTAATCACCTGCCGCTGAATTGAGACTCAGATGGGAAGTAGGAAGTGCTGTGCTCAAGCTTCCTGTATAAATAAATGCAGCTTTCCCACAGCTACTGCATACAAGCTGTGACGTGCTTTTAAGATATAATGGCAGCACGCTCTTAATAGCAGGGAGGGGATTATTTATCAGAGTGGCAAAGGAACCGAGAGGCAAGTCCTTCTGCAGTCCTACGAAGTGCACAGCTGTCAGATACACGGAGAAGAGAAAGGGTGTGTGAGAGGAATCTGCCTCTGCTTCTGATTGCAAGCTGCAGTGGTTGTGACATGATTCTTGGGAGCGCTGGAGTGTGAGTGAAGCTATTGAAAAGTCAAACAGCTGGGACTGAATACTACTCTCCTTTCAAGGTATGTTGGAATACAGCTTTCTGCCTGTTTTTCCATTATAAGCAAAAGATAATTAAAAAAGCAGAAAACCAAAGATTGCTTATAATGGAAGAAAACAAAAAAGGCTTTGTTAATAGACAAAGTAAGAAACAGAATGATTAAAGGGCTAGAATAAATGTTACTTGTGGTTTGGTTAAAATCTAACCGTGTGGTGCTTAGAACTGAGGCAAAAAGGAAATTTTGGAGTCCGGATGATTAAAGATACAGAAAATTAGACATCAAGTACTTGCCAGAAGGGTGAAATTACTTCTGTCAGTGTAACTTTTAAAGGAATATGTGTATGAGGGGGTTGAAAATGCTGCAGTATTAGAACATACAGCTGTGTGGAAAGCAATTGCTAAAATGGCATACTATGTCATGTATCTGTTCTAGCTTAAACACAAGAACTCACTTTGTACTGAAGACATAACAGCTTGGGCTAGAAGGAGCCTGAATTTAAAATTTAGATTTCCTTCTGATTCAAAGCCATTTCTTATGTCCCAGTATCATGCAGCTGGTGTCATGAAGAAAAATTCTCTATGTTCTAAGTGTTAGCATACACTTGTAATCTGCTTGGGGTCTAGGATTATGTAGTTTTTTAGGTAAGCACTTAGCAAGCATGCAATACCTTGGTTTCCTAGTAGGCATTATTTCTTCCCCCCCCCACACTAAGAACAGAGAATAGCATTTACTGGTACGGCACTGCTTTCTCTTTCTCTTTGTAGAGCTTTCCCAGTACAAAGCTTCTTCGGTAATGATGTTTCACTGTGACTTACAGTAAGTCTGTATTTTCTGGAGTGAGAAGGCACTCTGCTTCCTAAATGTCCGTGGCAATATCAAGTATCCTCCTTCAGAGAGCAGTAGAAGTAGTAAAATATTTAGGATGATGATAGCTAAGAAAACATCGCAGGCTGACTCCCATCCCCTCGGTAAATAGCGAATGCTTTTAAGAAATACATTTTAGCAGATAGAGAGGCTGTGACTGAAATGCCCCTGTGCAGCCTTACAGCCGGCTGTGAGCAGGCACAGTAACGTGATATGTTTGGCTGCCCTCAGCCACAAGGGCAAGTGGTCTTGGTTAAGGACAAGCACTGTGTTTGGAATACCAATATTTTTGGAAACAGAAGTTTCAAAATGCTGTCCTTAAATATTTTCCCAAACAAATAAAGCCGGCCTGATTCTCCTGCCGTTCAGGACTTGTCTGTGCCTGAAAATGAGTGGGTGTGCGGGTTGTTGTCATAGCATGAAAGTGGCGGAAGCCCTTCTCGTGGTGAACGTGAGCTATTCTGGAAAAAATACAGCATGTTGATAAGGGAGTGGCTGTAGTTATGATACTGAAAGTAGTGCTTTACATTATGGATTAGGAAGAACGTGTTTGCAGAGCATCTAAAGCTATGCTAAACTGGGAGGTATTCCTTCAAAATAAACTGGAGCAATTCCACAGCCAAGTCAGTATGACAAGAATCAGACTTGTTTTCTCCCATGCATCTTACCTGTGCAATGAGGATATTTAAAACAGTGCTGTCTGCTCATAGAAGAACATGGAAACCTCCCTACGCTTCGTGTAGGAACAGCATTTGGCAACTTGATAGAATTTCATTTCCCCGTGTTGTACTATATCCTGTGTGCTCCTTCCTGGCAGTCATTCTGCTTTCCTGCAAGTAGTGATATTTTGGTGACTGTGTCTGAGTAGAGCATAAGTCAATAATATAAATAGCCAACAATATGGAAATGTCTGGATTTTTAGGTTACACTGTATTGTCTAAAAGCTTCAGAAGCTTCCTAAAAACAAATAAGCAATGTGGAAGGGATTATTTGACCTTTCTTTTTTGCTGGAGGAAGAAAGCATGCACTTGACCTTAATAACATCTTCAGTTTAAAATGCAACTATGGAAAGCAGCAAGTGAATTGACAGAAAAACAAGCATCACTAATACTTAACCAGGTTTCCAGTTCATTGGTGTACCTCTGAAAGTATTTGTCATACGAGTCTGAGTCTTGTGCCTGTAACCTGCTCTGTCCAGACCTTTCAGGGATTTTTAGTAGTGAGACCCAGTGACGCACATTGCTTTGATGTATGATTTAAAAAAAAAAAAGGCAACAGCATTGCTGTGCCTCTTTGTGAGTAAGGGAGTTTTCTTGAATATACCTGAAACTATGCAATGCAGATAGATTGTACATATCAGACCCATAAATATCTCCCAGACTGGTAGTATTGTGAAATCTGAGACTGTAATTACATCTCTAGGTCCGTGGATCACAAGCACACATGAACAAAATACCATGGCAAGCTGCCAGTGTCACTGTTAACCGAGTCCACTGGACCTCCTTGCATGTACCCAAGCATACATTGCCTTCAGATTTGTGAGGCTGTCTTTTTCCTCTGCCTGCTTGCTGAAAGGTGACCACAGTTCCCTCCTCTCCCCTTGGCTTCCCTGTGCCAAAGCCCAGTCCTGTGTAATGCACTTGACAAATTCCCTTCGTGACCCAACAGCCAGGAATAGCCTTACATTCATTCCATCTCAAAATTAATCATCTTTTTGTTTGTGAAGGGTAACATGGAACAAAACCAAAAAGATCATAAGGGAAAGATAGCAATGTTAGTCAGCTCAGTCTCTATCATTTTGTAGCTGAGCCTCAGTGCTCAACTATGAGCCTTGACAGAGACAAGTACAGGTCTGAGGGCCATCGTACACAGCAAATTTACCCAGTCCTCAACAAATATTTACAGAGGTGCTTGTGCCAAATAACATTGTGCTGATCAGTAGAAAAATAGTGTTCAGTAATCTTTCTGTGTCTCTTGTAAATGGTTTCAACTCAGTGGGAATGGAGTGGGCATTGCATTCACAAAGTAGATCATTGCTAGCAGTTCTTAAAACATTAATAATAAAAAAAGTAAAGTATCTCAAATTACACTTCCCACTTAAGTTGGACTTCCCCAACTTCTCTTCTTCCAGGGAGGAGCAGAGATGCTGAGTGGAAATTTCAGTACCTGAGATCATGACTTGGTTAACTGCATTGTAAACACTTTCAAATAAAGGTGGCTATACAAAAAAATATTTTGTTGATGCTGTTTCCTAGATATCTTGGTATGTGTAGATACTTGCACACAATGACATTTGTTCTCCATATCTGGTTCCTTTTATTCTATTTTAATAAAGAAATAAGATTATGGATTGCCCCAGATCTTTGTGGTTTTTTTTAATGTGCTTCTAGGGGAATCTGCTCAGCCTCCAAGGGAAAATCCACTGTTTAAGCACAAGAATAAAATGGCATTTTAGTTAGAAATGCTATCAAGTGGCCTGATTCTTTGAATGTCCTTGGTGCCTATTAGAATGTCTTTGGTGCCTGCAAGTACAGTTTTGACTTTGCTGGAGTTTGGGCCATTCTGTGAGCATCCTTGTGCCTCTTCTTTCTGAGTGGGTCAACATCTCTATTGTCCAAACTAGCGCTAGGCACAGCAACCGGGGCCATGGCAGTCAGACTTGAGAGAATGCTTAGCTCCTCTCAAGTGAGGTAATCTCGGACACGCTTTAGTCAAAAGGCAATTTGTTTAAATTATGTTTGTATGAAACCTAATGAGAAATTTTGTATTCTTCTGACAGACTTCAAAGGCCATAAATAAGGGCAGCTGAATGAGTTGGAGTGAGACTGAACTCCAGAACTGTGACTTGATATGTTTAGTTTTGGTCTGGATATGCTGATCATGGAAATCACAGTCAGCATTCTACTGTGAAAGATTCCAGCTTGTGCATGTGGTTTTATACATGATAGAACACATCTCTTGTATGGATTTTCTTCTGCATTAGAGGCTGCTGTAGACACAGCAGTTACGGGGAGTTGTTCTACGTGCTTTTTGTCTGATGGAGAGACAAGGGCTGCTGATCAGGAGACAAACAGTACAAAATTACTTCTAACTAGAAGGAAAAAAATACCATTTTACTGTCGTGCTCATGTTCCTCCTCTTTAATTGAGAATGTTGCTATTTGTCTGTGTCTGTTGCAAGCCTTTCTGCCTTTCACTTTGCTATAATAATGAGGAGAGAAGGAAGAGCATAAGACATGACTCATTCAAAGCGTGGACACTGTCTAGGTCTGCAACAGAAGCTTTGATATTCATGCTTGCCTACACAAAATACTGTATCCTCAGACTGTCAATGAGTAAACGTGCAGATCTGAAAACCTTTATGTGCTCTGTTTGCAAAAAGGAAGAATATATTGTAATAGAAGAGCTGTCTCCCTATCTTCAGGGGCTTAAAGAGGTCCCCGATGGCTACCTACACTTGCACCTTTATTTACTATATATTAGCATGGCTTAGGGGTGAACTCCTTGCTGATGAATATACAGCTAGAGATCACTCAAAATTGAGTGCTGTAAAACCCCAGTATGTAGAAGGAAAAACACATTTTATGACAGCTAGCATAGAGGCTAATCATTTGCATGCAAAGAAAATTCTGAGATTAACTAGAAGCTGTGATGTACAGGCTGACAGTGGTTATGTCTGAACTGTATATAGGAAAGCTCATGTGTTCTGGCTCTTCTTAATTTTGGAAGCATTCAGGTGGGTGAATGTGGGGAGAAGATGAAGGAAAACAAGGTGGTATCCCCTGCCCCTTCACCCCCCCCTCCAAAAAAAAACAAAAAAGGTTACAGACAGAGATGTAGTCAGTGGGGGAAAAAAGAAAAAGCTGACCCTGCGGGCTGCCTAGCAGTGCACTCACTTGAAATTTCTCAAGCAGCAAAATCTCAGCTAATCCCTGATCCTGGAACCTGTCCCAGTGGAGTTTCCCCAGTTTAGGACTAAGATAACATATAGAGGGCCAGCAATAACTTGCTCCGTGAAGTTTTGCACAATGGAGAAAATGCAATCTTGAACCCTTCATACCTCTTCACATTTGTGCTGATGGGTTCAGTGGTGAAGTCTCTATCACACTCTCCAGGGAGGGGGTGTGGGAAAGAAAATCATGCCCTTTGCCTACAGTG